TTCCCTGTATGTACTTTAATGTTCATCTTAGAAAGGTGTCAGTTAAGACAGCTTTCCTTGTGTGTACTTTGCATGTGTTCATCTTAGAAAGGTGTCAGTTAAGACAGCTTTCCCTGTATATACTTTACTTGTGTTCATCTTAGAAAGATGTCAGTTAAGACAGCTTTCCCTGTATACACTTTACTTGTGTTCATCTTAGAAAGGTGTCAGTTAATTAAGACAGCTTTGCCTGTATATACTTTACATGTGTTCATCTTAGAAAGGTGTCAGTTAAGACAGCTTTCCCTGTATACACTTTACTTGTGTTCATCTTAGAAAGGTGTCAGTAAATTAAGACAGCTTTGCCTGTATATACTTTACATGTGTTCATCTTAGAAAGGTGTCAGTTAAGACAGCTTTCCCTGTATATACTTTACTTGTGTTCATCTTAGAAAGGTGTCAGTTAAGACAGCTTTCCCTGTATGTACTTTACTTTTGTTCATCTTAGAAAGGTGTCAGTTAAGACAGCTTTGCCTGTATATACTTTACTTGTGTTCATCTTAGAAAGGTGTCAGTTAAGACAGCCTTGCCTGTATATATTTTAATTGTGTTCATCTTAGAAAGGTGTCAGTTAAGGCAGCTTTGCCTGTATATACTTTACTTGTGTTCATCTTAGAAAGGTGTCAGTTAAGACAGCTTTCCCTGTATGTACTTTACATGTGTTCATCTTAAGGTGTCAGTTAAGACAGCTTTGCCTGTATATACTTTACATGTGTTCATCTTAGAAAGGTGTCAGTTAAGACAGCTTTCCCTGTATGTACTTTACATGTGTTCATCTTAGAAAGGTGTCAGTTAAGACAGCTTTCCCTGTATATACTTTACTTGTGTTCATCTTAGAAAGGTGTCAGTTAAGACAGCTTTGCCTGTATATACTTTACTTGTGTTCATCTTAGAAAGGTGTCAGTTAAGACAGCTTTCCCTGTATGTACTTTACTTGTGTTCATCTTAGAAAGGTGTCAGTTAAGACAGCCTTGCCTGTATATATTTTACTTGTGTTCATCTTAGAAAGGTGTCAGTTAAGACAGCTTTGCCTGTATATACTTTACTTGTGTTCATCTTAGAAAGGTGTCAGTTAAGACAGCTTTGCCTGTATATACTTTACATGTGTTCATCTTAAGGTGTCAGTTAAGACAGCTTTGCCTGTATATACTTTACATGTGTTCATCTTAGAAAGGTGTCAGTTAAGACAGCCTTGCCTGTATATACTTTACTTGTGTTCATCTTAGAAAGGTGTCAGTTAAGACAGCCTTGCCTGTATATACTTTACTTGTGTTCATCTTAGAAAGCTAGGTGTCAGTTAAGAAGCTTTCCCTGTATATACTTTACATGTGTTCATCTTAGAAAGGTGTCAGTTAAGACAGCTTTCCCTGTATATACTTTACATGTGTTCATCTTAGAAAGGTGTCAGTTAAGACAGCTTTCCCTGTATATACTTTACATGTGTTCATCTTAGAAAGGTGTCAGTTAAGACAGCTTTCCCTGTATATACTTTACATGTGTTCATCTTAGAAAGGTGTCAGTTAAGACAGCTTTCCCTGTATGTGCTTTACTTGTGTTCATCTTAGAAAGGTGTCACTTAAGACAGGTTATTCTATATGTATTTTCTACTATTTGAAATTAAATATTACTGTTACCTGCACAAAATGGATTGTTCATATCAAAGTTGATGGCAAATTCATGAGAAACAGCAAAATTTGGTGGAATTTTGGCACCAAATCCAAGAGCAGGAAATAACTTGTCACTGAAACAAAAAAACACATAAACTTAAATACTTGGGAAGTTATATTATAATATTAAAAAGTCAATTTTTGAAATGTTTTGAAATTGATTTGACCATTTGATGGTGATTCAACCAGTTGACGATTTTTGATTTTCAGGATGTGCACATTGATTCAAGCAATTAATGGTGTTGGCAGTGATTCAACCACATGATGGTGTTGGCAGTGATTCACCAATATGATGGTTTTAGCAGTGATTCAACCATATGATAGTGCTGGCAGTGATTCAATCATATGATGGTGGTGATTCAATCATATGATGGTGTTGGCAGTGATTCATCAATATGATGGTTTTGGCAGTGATTCAACATATGGTGGTGTTGGCAGTGATTCAATTATATAATAGTGCGGGTAGTGATTCAACCATATAATGGTGTTGGTAGTGATTCAACACATGATGGTGTTGGCAGTGATTCAACATATGATGGTGTTAGCAGTGATTCAACCATATAATGGTGTTGGCAGTGATTCAACCATATGATGTTGTTGGCAGTGATTCAACATATGATGGTGTTGGCAGTGATTCAACATATAATGGTGTTGGCAGTGATTCAACATATGATGGTGTTAGCAGTGATTCAACCATATAATGGTGTTGGCAGTGATTAAACATATGATGGTGTTGGAAGTGATTCAACCATATGACGGTGTTGGCAGTGATTCAACTATATAATAGTGCTGGCAGTGATTCAACCATATAATGGTATTGGCAGTGATTCAACCATATGATGGTGTTGGCAGTGATTCAACATATGATGGTGTTGGTAGTGATTCAACATATAATGGTGTTGGCAGTGATTCAACATATGATGGTGTTGGTAGTGATTCAACCACATGATGGTGTTGGCAGTGATTCACCAATATGATGGTGTTGGCAGTGATTCAACCATATGATGGTGTTGGCAGTGATTCAACATATGATGGTGTTGACAGTGATTCAAATATGATGGAGTTGGCAGTGATTCAACTATATAATAGTGTTGGCAGTGATTCAACATATGATGGTGTTGGCAGTGATTCAACATATGATGGTGTTGGCAGTGATTCAACATATGATGGTGTTGGTAGTGATTCAACCATATGATGGTGTTGGCAGTTGA